GGAACGTGAATGTCATTCGAAATTATTCATTTGCAATTGAACAGATACTTGCGATATTTTTGCGAACCGTAATATAAATTGCCGTTTGCGATCCGTCGAGGGCGAGCACACGGTCGGGATTGCGATTTTAATTAGTTATAAACCGCGTTCATTCGCGCGGCAGCGAAGCGTATTCGTCGGCTGCGTAAGCGCGGCGGCTGCAGTTCGCTGCGACAAACCAGATTCTTCACGGTTAACTTGCAGATCGCGGCGGCCGGTTTTCACTGTTGACACTATCACACACGCTCTCTTTCGAGAGACGAGAGAAGCGTACATAGATAGAGTAGGTATGCTATACGTCTATTATACTGCTGGGACTTATCGCACGTCAAATCGTCTTATCGATGCCTGAACGAGTCGCTGGGACGAGTCCGACTCTCCCTATAAAAGAGAATGTTGCCCGCGCTGCTATCAAATAAATGACTTTGTGTGCACATTCCTCGCGTATCTGCCAATTATCCCCGTGGAATTAATTGATAGGATGCCGTCATAATCGCCGTCTTATCGCCCTCATTTTTTTTGTTTTTTCTACTTAATTATTTTCAACTCCGCTCGGCGCCGCGTTCAGCGAAAAACTGATGCCAATGATAAATCGGTCAGTGCAAGAAATTCCCTTCGAGGTCCGATTTTATATATTTGTTTTATATACATGTTTTATATATAGCACGTGTAATTGCGATATTCACGGTGAGCCGATATTGACGGTATGCCTTGAGTCTCTAAATATCATTCCTAATTAATTAGCTGAAAAACATTGTTAGAACAGCTTGCATCAAGACCTCGTTTGACGTTTCTGAGATAATGATACTTGGTCAGATTCTGAAAATTCTTTCGTAAAAATGCACAGAATCCTTTCAATTCGTAGCTTTACCATCGACAAATCAACGCTTCAATTCTTGATTCTGACAGGGCATTTGAAAAAAATCTTTACACACATAATATTTATACAAATCCTTACATCCATTAATATTGGACTGCGCGTAATCACAGAATATTTCCAAATGGATCTTGCATCGTAAGTTGCATTTACGCATATATACTTGAAAAAAAAAAAAAAAAAAAAAAAACATTCAGATTAGTATCCGCAATGGCACGCATACTACATATGTGACTTCGTCGACAATTCGCGTATTCACGTCTTTACATACGTTGGTTGCGCACGAGTCGGGATTTGACCGTAAGGAAAGGGCAAAGTTCGATCTGTCGACTTACATGAGATTGCCGCGGTGCGATGATCATCGATGACGCCGCGAGGTCATTCATCATCCCCGTGACACGATGTACAGAATCACGGCCTGTTGCGCATATATATATAAAACCGTTAGAAACGCTTGTTGGCACATTCAACCTCTTCGGACTTACGTCGCCAACCTCCCAGTACATACATAGTTTACGGTTAACTAAAGTTCACGCACGACTCTGCATCTCCCACGCGACGAAATGAAGATTCATTTAAATCCCTCCTTCTCTTCTTCTCCTCCGTTAAAATTTCGGTTTGGTCAAATCGCGATGGCATCGAGGGCAAGAAGAATTTTACTGGACGTAGTACACGAGAAAAAAACAATTAGATCAGATGATAGAATTGAAAAGCACAAAAGAATGTTTATGGAGGATACAATCTGGTAGTCGGCTATACACGCGATTTATGGGAAATGATTAAGTAACGATTCCGCGGCCGTGTTCGGATCCTTCGTGAAGGATCATAAATTAGCGAACAAACGGATATATATGTGTAAAAAATTATTATATATTAGTAAATAAACATAATGCAGATATTTTCACCCAGCAATTCGTTTTAGAAACCATTCCAATTCCGTTTTCAAATAAAAATTTGAATTAAATGATTTATTTAATGATAAAATGTATGACGTAATTAATTTAACGGGTAAAAAATAAGAATTAAAGAACATGCACCGTTTTTTTAATGTTACATAAATATAGCGTGTGCTTAAATTAAAAAATGACTATAATTGATAAGAGCAACAGCGTGTGATAGAATAAATTAGAATAATTTAAAAAATTCATAAATCTTAACTGTATTTATGAATTCATTGAGGCTTTCTCGATATTGGGAAACGTCATTAATGATTTACATCTCAGTAAAATGATCTTCGATCAACTGTCAAAACCCGAAGCGATAGCATGGGAAAACATTGGAAAATCAATTTAGACTTTAAAGCACTCAGAGTGCGTTCTTAAGGCTACTTCTCTTGCAAAATTATCTCTCCTTTACTTCCCCTCGGCGAGGCATATATTACCGCGGTAGGACGAGTGCACCTCGTAAATCACTCGTCGTTCTGCAACGTACAAAAGAGAAACAATGACTGGTTCTGCAAGAGTCATATACACGTATAAGTGCGTATCGAATGCTGCATAACTGTGCCTCTGAATAATGATGTATTTGTGCTACATTTCTAAAACCTTAAATTAAAATGTAAATCTTTCTCTGTGTCTTTAGGAAAATATTATCTCGCGTAGAAAAATGCAGATTATTATACAGTTATATGAAAGCATTGTACGTGTTGTGTTTGCGATATTTTTAAAATTAATATAAAAAGATATGTTACTTGACAGTTATTACGAGCTTCTCCTTTTTTTTTTTTATTCAATCAACGTTTTGTATTAATTCAATTCAACTTTCTAATGCTCGAAAATGTTTAATAAGATGTAATATTTATTAATAAGATGATAATGTTATACTGTGAGATATATATATATATATAAAACTAGCATACTTAACCACCTGCCTACAAGAAATTATCGCATAAGGTAGTCGTGGGCGTTAGTGGGTCACAAAAAGAAAAATACTTTTCCGGAAAGTATTCCAAACACTCAGGCGTTCGTGATTTATGTATTACATTGCGGATAGCTGTAATAAGCCGGCACATCGTTTCGCGCGTAGGTGCTTGGGAGATCAAGATCAGCGTTTCGTAACGACGTACCGCAACGTTTCTTACGTACGTCTGCCGCTATTCCCGAGGCTTCGTGACGATATAAGTAAATAACGTATCAACGTGGCGTAAAACCTCGTATATACCTGTGTACCACAAACGGATACCGCTGACCGTTTGCGGACACCCACATATAACATCTCGTAATCCGTTGGATGCTCGGCGTAGGCAGGGCACTGGTAGCTTTCCGTCGCGATTACAGGTGCAGAAATGGTCGGGTAACATTTTGCAGTTAACATCCTCGGCGAATCTGATAATGTAACACGTCTCAATGAACACGTCCCTCGCTTAACGATGTCGCGCGCGAATACGCGTCGAATGCACGCAAAATGTACAAACGACAGAAGAGTGTTGCAGCTCGTGTTACTCGGAACTCGTTTGTAGAGAGATTTGCGCAAAAATCTATTCGCTAAGCGGTGAAGCGAGAGTGAGGAGGTAATAAGCGCGACCGGTATATCCCATTATCAATAATTGCAAAACTTTGTTACGAGGCAATTAAAAGGCTTAGCTTAGTGCGGTAAAGACTTGAGGCGCTTGAGGTTTTACTGGATTTCAAATTTAGATAACAATGTGCCCAATAACGAAAGCGTATTTGCCAACACTTATCAACGTCGTGTATACGCATTAGAGGTAGGTTCTCTTCTGCGTGCCTGCGTGACTTACAAGACCCAAGTCTATATTTCAACGGATGTTGAAGTCGGCGGCCGCCGATTCCATCGGTGCGTTCCGGACCTCCGATCATTACGCCCGTTATAAGCTGTCACATAGCTCATCTCATACACGCGCTTCTTCTCACTGATATACGGCCAGTGTTTCGAATTTTTTTTTTCCTTCCCCCCCCCCCTTTCTTGATTTTTCACAATCAACCGTCTACGTAGAATTAACTTAAACTGCACTTTCAATCAATTCGAGGTATCTAAATAAAATACTTATCGCTTTGTCTAACATACATGTGTACAGAAAGTTCTTCGTCTTCATCGAATCAACCGACTTTGTCATCTCTTTCATGAATTTCGAATTAATTCTCACAATCGTGCAAAAAAAACAAAAAAAAACTATATTGCAAATCCGATCGGAGAACGTATTGGGAAACGCTCAGCGGAAGCGGACAGTTCTCGTTGCACATGCTCGCGTATGAGAGAATCCTGAAAGGTTAAGGAGAAGATGACGCTCTCTCGCGTACCGTTGCGTCAGCAGCGCGAGATAAGACTTTCACTGAAGAGCCAAGTGTCCAGAAGTGAGAATACGAAACCCCGGGATCGCTTTTACGATCGCGTCTTACGAGAGATCTTTGATTTCCGGCCTCGCCGAGCAATTTCAGCCTCGTCTCACGAGATTCGCGTGAGTCGCAATTTAATTCACGGCTCTCCGAAGGGAGACGAGAGATTTTCGCGATATTCGGCATTTGAAAGACTCGGGGAAACGAATTAATGTAATCGGACTTAATGACGGCACGATTAATTAGACGTATCTCTCCCCGAGATGGAAATTCCACCTTTCTCTCTCGTGAGATTCATTCCGCTGTTCTCCCAACCGGGCCCTCCCACCGATCTTTTCCTCGGCGCATTACTTTTGTCGTACACTTCAGACGCGCGCGGTATATCCGCGATTGAGACTGAGAAACCGAAGGTAATGTCAGCAATTACCATTTACGAGGCTGAATCTTTATTAGTCAAACGTAATCGTAGGCGTACATTGCTGAACGGAATGGAACGTGCGTGATATCGATTAAGCCAGCAATGGTGGCCTAATTTATGGCGATAATTTATGACGTTACGGACACACGAACGCGATTGATGAAATCAACCTTTCCCCGGAAAATTATCTTTTTCGTGGGGAAAAAAAAAAAAAAAATTCGACAAAATTTGAAATTGTTCAAAAATATGCTTCGATATTCCACAAATGATCTTACCAACGTTTTCGCCTATCGCAATGAAATGAATCTGAGATACCTTCGTCGACGCGACTTAGACATTAGATAGGTTTGCGGCGGTGCTATCGATAACTCACCGGTAGGAGAAGTAAGGACAAGGGCGAGTGCCTCGCGGCCGCCTGCCTGAGACTGAGAAAGTGCAGTAGGGGGTCCTCGGTTGCCCTCAGCTCGTCCAGTGTCCTCCTAGCCTCGCTGTACTTCTCCAAGTATTCCCAGTAAGAGTTCCAAAACGGGCCGGGGAATAAGTCACCTGTCGACAGCGGTACACCGCCGTAATTAAAATCCGTCTGTGCCGCGGCGTAATGGAAAAAGCAGCGAATTCCGTTATTAAATTACATTACGAGACTATCTTTCGCCGGCCGTAAAATAATTGCGCTTGTCATATCACCCGGCGGAGGGTTTATACGTTCTCCTCCGGAGACGGTAATTAACAGCGCCGTCCGACGCGGGCATGAAACGCGCGTTGCGGGAAACGCGAGAGCAGAAAACAAAATAGTATGTCGCGTGCAGCGAAGTAAACCGCGGCGCTAAAAAGGAAATTAAAATCGAATCGGAATTACTGCCACATGCCTCTATTTTGTTTCTCTATTACGTTTTTTCGCCGGCGACGAGAGATACGTTCCTCGTCTCTCTTCCCTTTCTTTTTTTCTTCTTTTTGTTTTCGTATTGGAAAATGATTCATCTTTGGAATTAACATCCGCCCCCCCCCCCCTGAAATGCAGGCTGCGCCGCCGTGTAATTCGCAGATTCAACGCATCGCGAATTTACGGTAGTCCCTACGTACGTTCGCACCATGAATTGACATCGCGTAATTACATCCCTCGGAATGACGTTCCTCCGCGTGTGAAAAACGCGAGCTCGCACGCGTGAGTCACGGGCCGGGCGCGGGCGTGGAAAAAATGCACGCGGTATATCGTGTTTCGAGATAACGCTCGGGACAGCACGAATAAATTCCCCCCCCCCCCCCCCCTCCTCGCGATACGTACACACGAGAGCCGCGCGGTGGCCGATTTACCATTCGCTGTCGTCGTCCCGTACGATAAAGGAACCGGCAATCGTATTAATGTAAATTCGAAATGGCCGGTGATAGTTCATTTCACGGTAATAGCGGCAATGCGAGTGGTACTCGCATTGCCGGCGGTAGAGTGCGAGCCAGTCGGGAACTATCCAACTCGCCTAATGCACAAAGGAAATCTCAATCTCGGAGTGGGTATCGCCGTCGTTTAATTAGCGCTCTCTCTCTCTCTCTTTTTTTTAAGCAACGACGACGGGAGCAACCGGCGCTCGTCGATCGTTCTGTCGCGACTATCGCGCGCGATTATCGCGCGAGAAGAGGAAGAAACGCAAGAATGCGAAGATTCCTGATACGTATACGCGACGTATTATCGAAGGGAAGAGACCGCGCGCGGTCGTCTCTCGCCCTTGATAAGTTCCACTTTACCAGTTTTTTTCCTAAGCCGTGCGGAGCAGAGCTCTCAGTGCCCACTCTCTCGCGTGGGCATAATAAACTCGTTAAGGCGCTCGCTTTGGCATCGTAATCGATAATCGCGCAACGATACAGCTAAGAAGCTATCGCGCGTACGTGCGTGCATACTCACTCGTCTTGAAAGCACCGCCGTCCCAATTCTCGAGTGCCCCGCGGATCTGAAAAGAAGCAAAAGGGCACGGTAAGAATTGGCTTTTAAAATACAATGACCAACATATAATTCCGGGGAAAGGAACGGGAGGGGGGGAGGGAGGGGGGAGAGACTATGTATAATGTATGAGGAGAGATGACTTGAGTTATCGATAAGCGAGGCGCGATATATACGCTCCTTTCCGATTCATTATTTCCGATCTGTCGTTTCCATCACTTGTCACTTAACCCAAAGCCTTCGTACGTAGCTTATTACTTTGTGTTATTGTAAGAATATTTTCGCACACTTGTGCCGGCGATTCAATAACTAACCGCTGAACCGTCCATACTATGATACGTTAGCGAAATTATTCGAGATTGTTAAATTGATCACGGTTAAAGTAAGTGATGATTTATTGTATGTGGCGTCAATTTTGGTAATAGAAAAATTGTAATTAACGTCGAATGATTCCTTCGGGATAGAAAATATATGAAAGATATTGCGAAGTAAATTCATCCCTGCGTCGTTTCAAGATTTAATTTTGCCTGAATATGCATATTTCATTAAATACAATAATTTTCTCGACGCGCGGTCTAGAAATATTATATAGTTACTCCGTTAAAAGGCGCGCTTTACCAAGTATCTGACTGATCGTTCGAAATATTTGTAACGAGATGGTGTCGAAGACCCTAAACGGTTCGAGGTCAGACCACGTCCTCGGGAAGATCGTATATTTATCTGTTGACTTATGACGCAGCATTATGCCCAATCAGGACATCGTCCAAAGAAGCACGGTTTCGATATGAATGAGCTTAGTAATCCTCGAGACCTTCCATACACAAAGGCGGTCGGCAGGTCGTCGATAATGTTACGGTAGCTGGCAAAGCAAAGCCGGTAATGTTAATTCCACGCGGCCCACATTCGCATAAGTATATATATATATAAGTCAGTTCTTGAGACTTAAATATTAATCGCCTTACGATACAGTTAGTAGACAAAAAGGGGGGGGGGTGGGCGAGACTCCTCCGCAACTTTTCGATATGCGGATACGTGACTCTTTTTGCGGGTGCGATAATAAAATGGAAATAAACCGGTCTACGGGGTAAGAATAGCGCGCGATACATCTGGCACGTAGTAATTAATTTTGCCGTAATAAACGTGCCGCGCGCTTCGTGAAATTGTATTACACGGTTTTGGAGTAAGAAGAGAGCCGCGCTCGCTGCACGGAGGAAGGATGAGCTCGCGGTTTGAGCGTATGTGAGATACGCAAAAGAGTGACGGACGGGATGCAGGGTTTCTCCAAGGCCCTTTAATGGCAAGGTCTTCCAGGCCACGCAGGCGGATGGAAATTATCGACGAGAGTCAATCAGCTTGCCTCCGAGCTACGAATACGTATCTATCGGAGGCACCGTGTAATCACAATAAAACTGCCGCCGCACTGCTGCGCGCACCGTGTACGAGAGAGAGAGAGAGAGAGAGAGAGAGAGAGAGAGAGAGAGAGAGAGAGCTCAATTCCTAACAACCAATTTGTTCCGGTTTAATTGCTACGTCTCTACGTGTGCTATCATACAGGAAAGCAGAGCTCTCTTGGCTTTAACGCAGCAGCCGGCCAACAATTATCACGATAAATTGTACGCCGATCTCGCGAGCGTACACTTGAAATTTCAAAGGCACGTAGACCTGCAACGTTCTCTTCGCACAATGCGAACGCACAGAATGAAGGCAAAGAAAATACGAGGGAAGGTCGTCCCTTTCCGCTCGAAATATCTTTACGCTAAATTGGAATATGTGGGTAGCTTTTAAGAAAGTATATACGCGATTTTATAGAAGAATAACATTTTATGGGATAATAGAATCACATATGTTTTTAGCTAAACTACCTGTAAACTGCTACGGCACACGTAGGATTTTAAATAATCGATTCGAACAATTTTACTTCCTTTACTTCAACTTTTTACGATTATTACGTAAACTTTAAATGCAGAAGTACGTAGCGTGACGCAAATAAATTCCCTCGCGTACTTTCGTATATAAATGGACTATTAGATTAATTAAAAAAAAAAAGAAAAAAAAATCAAACGTCGGATTAGAAAACATCGGAATTGAGTTTAACTCACAATCAGTCGCTGAGGAAGAGGTCAATAACCCGTTCTTATCCGAACCTAAAAGATTAGAAAAACGACGACACGTTGAGCTATAAACCCAAGCGATAAGGTACGTGAATGAGGCAATTTCTGAAGAGAGAAGATCAGATCTTCGTTTCAAAAGAGGCTAGACTTTCCGGAGGTAGAGTTTTAACATCCGCCCGACTATTCTTCCAGTTTACCGTAATTAATAATCTTTCGATCCCGTAAAATTAATACAGTCTTTAGTTATACATACACGAGGGCTTCGTACGTAATTGCAATTATTTTTTTTTTTTTCTCAAACCAACGCGACTTATTTGACGGCCGTTTCGTTGTATGGCCATTCATTAGCTATTAATAAGAAAATTTATAAACACGCGCGTGCATATAAAACAGTAATTATATTTAAGTCGCCCCGATATAAGCCTCAGCGTAAGAGGCTGAAAGTGGACGTATAATTAAAACATTTACCGCGGTAAGCGATACTTCATGTACCATAGAATGTTGCATTCCATGTAAGGAATTTTTATCGTACCGTCCGACAGTATCGCGCATTACGTATCGATAAGTCACTTGGCTCGAATCGAGAAGAGAGATGATACCTGGCGTGAAATGAAAAAGGGAATGCGTGTATGCGTATACGAGTATGCATGTAGAAGCAACGATACGTGCGCTGCATCGTCACGTCGTTCCTGGGCGTCACGATGTGATGCGTCGGCGTGTCGATGCGTTTCTTATTGTCAGATACGTATCTATGTTAAGCGCGCACGCACTGCGTGCCTCCATGCATTTATGCATCGCATTATACGCGCCGGCCAACGCGATAGGATAGGTACAGGGTGACCGATTCGTTTTTCGAGGCTGTCGAGAGTAGAGGAAGTGTGTCTATGTCTCGAGCGGTCATGAATTATGTATGCGTACGCGCTCGTCATTTACTCTTGCCCCGCGAACGGCAAGGAAGATAATTAATAAAATAATTACACGGAACCGCGCGATCGCAGCCCCGATTATCGGAAATCGCGTTAAATTCGACGTAAAACGCGACCGCACCGCAGCGGTCTGTGGCTTGTAAAGTCGCGTGAAATAACGATTAGACGATCAAGTAAATTAATCGGCTGTGAAATTCTTAATTAAACAGGCCCTCGGAAAAAGAAAAAAAAAAAAGGCACGCGCGATGTGCCTTTGATTCTATCGCAATCTCGTATACACGGGGTGTATACATACGCATTTACAGTAAGTCAAGTAAGAGCGTGGTCGAGTTCATGTTATTAGCCTTGAGATAGGTTCGAATAGTTTCATACGATATATCTAAAGCTTCCCGCTTCAATTTTGCTTGTCCTTGACGCAGTGTTAAGCCAGGATTCCGCGAAAACAGATTCACTATTTTTTTATCGTCTGTTTTGGTCCACTTTGCATATCGAGCCACGTTCCGGTAAATCATCGACATTTTTTGCCACATTATATCGCTGCACTCACTTCCGTACGAATGATTTCGACTTTTTCATATATTTAGCAGCCGCTAATTGTGACACTTTTGGACCTTTCCAAAATGGGGGAGTGCAGAGAAACACAACGTGAGAAACACGCTTCGCAGCATGATGCGTATTTGGTACTCATGGCGCTTAATGCGATTCTCTTAAGAAAGTTCAATGACAACTGAATCTTCCTTGACAGTGCATCAAGGACAAAGGTGCCCTCTATGGATTCACGATAGATTCAGGGCGATATCTTTTCTTAGCTTTGAGTAAGGCCGACCACGCTCTTACTTGACTTACTGTACCTCGATCGCACAGTCCGTTGATCATCATTTTAACGATAAAAAAAAGAACTTGAGACGGATCGAGTTTCTTCCCTAGTCAGCATCTCGCGAAACGAAAATCCGAGTGGAATCGCGAACTGACTTACAAACAAATTTAGCTGTCCTAAAAACACCCTGGAATCAACGCGGAACAACACTGTACACGTATATGAACAAGCAAAGGCAATGGCCGCGGCTCTTCTATTCCCTGAACAGTGATGGACGTTCGATTATCGACAATCTCGATCGGCATATTACGATCGGACACCACGGCCAATTTTTCGCGCGGATACGTAGATGCGCATTCCTCGGAGGCGGTTTTAATTATACGTCGCACGCCCGTCCCTTCGGCCCTACCGCCCATCTAGGACGACGACGAGTACGCGAGCGGAGGGCGTAGCCCAAAAAAAGCAGATCGAATTCCTGCATGTTATTAGGGACTTACTATGCGAATATGTATATATATATATTATACGTATCCGTTTATCCCACTATCATTTTACAGTCGACAAGATGGCCACACGTCTCGTACTCTTTTCTCTCTCCCTTCCGTCCCTTTTTCCTTTCCTTTCTGAGCGACTGACGATCGATACGCAAAATCATACGACCTGTGGCCTCTACACGTACTTTCTACACGTTGATTCATCGTTGCTATCCACACACGACCGAAAGATTTTTCGCGTTTTATTAACGTATAATCGAACGTTTCATCCCGATATCTCACCGGAGTAATTAAATTAAATATACGTATGTACGCCATCAAGACGATAAACAGTTCTCTTCCCGTTACAACACGATGAAAGAATAGTTCGAGCTGTAATTAGGTTACAGTCATTTCATCATTTTTTTGTCGCATTTAACTACTCACCCTCTGCTAATGGAAAAGACGTAGCTTGTCGATCGTAACGTGTGATTAACATTTAACACATCGATCGTGGTCATTCGCCGAATAATTACGACATCGTAATTTCGTATAATAGAATCCAGTTTGTCAAGGTATGACACTTCATAAAGTACGTACATATAAATGTAATTGCAAGATAATTAGGATATAAGATTAGAAAAAAATCGAGAGTCATAATTTCGAACAATTTTCTTCGATGA